CAGTTTTGACAGTTCAGTTACAAGCATGATTTTTGCTCAAAATTAATAAACCAACAAAGTGTTTGTGTATACATGCTCGGAAGTTCTACGCGCATCACATTAACGAGACCCGACATTATTGGCTTTATATTGCAATGCCCTCGTAACTAGAACTTTGAGTAACGATGACAATATTCATCATGTGTCGAAAAATACTGAACGCCATCTACCAGCTTCGATGAAGACTCGAGTTGTATCTGGAAAACGCGGGAACGCTTTTGGATTCGTCGACTAAAAAATAAATACATGCATAGAGGGCAGAGAGAGACATAGCCGATCGGCGGTGGACCATCAACGCGCAATATCATAGACCAGTTGACGTAGTCATAAATTTGTGATAAATTAGTTGCAAGTGTTGTAATAAATTATTGTAAAAGTAATAAATCAGGCTTTGAATGGTGATTAAAACGCTGTTTTGATAAAAAAAATACAGTCTTAGGTAGTTTAACCTCCTGTTTCCAGTCTTCTTCTAGGAATGAACTGAATCGTGATCGTGTGAACAGCACAATTGAAAAAGTGTCGTTTATAACTGGTGAGTGTTTTTTACTAGACTTTACGAAGGATGGTAAAGATTCCGTGAGCTATTCCTTCAGTATTCAGATCGCCAGGTGAGTGGTTATGCGTATTGGAGAGCATGGCGACTTTTCCAAAGGTCTTCATTCTTGCTTTGCACCCCATTCTGTAGTACCTGGGACACCTCCAGTACGAAGTCATGCCAGCGTTCTTGACTACCTGATACGAATACTCGTAGCCGTCAAGGATTACTTTCGAGTTCTTTCTTCCAGTTGGTGCAAAATAGATCACTCCTGAAATATTTTTTGCTGGTAATTTTTTTCTAGCTAGGTGTATTAGATAATGGTTTTTTGTGATGTCTTGCTCGGTTTTCATATAAGCAGATTATTTGGTTAAATTGTCAACTTCGTTGAATTGCGCTTTGAAAAAGACCAGGAAGAAGTCGAAGTTATCACATTCAAAATCAAACAGTAAAAGCGAAAAATAACCTATCCTACATCTAGAACTGGCCGATACGACCGCTCCTCAATCCCTGGGGTACCGAGATTGTGAAACAATATACAAGAGGAGGCTTTTCCGAGTTTTATTAACCTTTCAGAAATCGGTTTAACAAAACGCGGTGACCTGGCGTTCAGGCTTCTGCCTGCACAGCTGCTTAGGTATAAACATACAGTAATTTAACATTTCCTACTTTTTATTGCTTCAAAACCTAATTTAAGATTGTAAAAATGCCGTAGGGCATTCCACAAGTATCGAGTCTGGAAGGTGGATGGTTGTGCCTTTCCTTGCTGTGCTTTGCCACCTTTCCGAAAGTTTTCAGTCTGGCTTTGCACCTCTTTTTGTAGTACGATGTGCACTTCCAGAAGGAGTGCGATGTACCTCTGAAGTTCAATTCGTATTCGTAACCGTCCAAAATGATTTTGGAGTTTTTTCTGCCAGTCGGAGCGAAATACAGGATGCCTGAAATGGTTTGTTGATAAAATCCAGTACTGAATGATAACTTTTATTTGTCGATTTAAGGATCAGGGTATTTAGCATGATTTTGTGCACAGTTCAGGAGAAAAATTTCTTCTGTTCTTTAAACAGTTTTAAGGGCTGAGAGAGTGTTGATAATAATTACGAAATTGTTGTCATTGTTTTCTGATGAAGTGTAGTAGTTTTTCTTCTAAAAACAGTAAAAGTAAAAACCAGAACTGGTTATGTGTTACTCGTTCGTAAAAAGTTGCCTCTTGCGATGATTGCAGCACCAGGTACAAATTCCCGTGTTGAAGATTTGACAATTTGACGGTCTTTTTAGCCAACCAAGGCATCAGTTCTCGAAAATGTTTAGCGCTTTAAAGTGACAAGCAAATGTAAGGTTATTTGCATTGTTGTCAATTGTCAAAGACGCCAAATTTTGAATGTTCTAGAACGTGAATATCTACCTTAACAAGTCACTGAGATATAATAATATCAAATATTGTAGCGCTAAATATACACGACAGCACTCTTCATCTTGCAATATCAATGTCAGAGATCGGACTTGGATCCAGCATTATGGTCTCCTTGATTTCCATAGTTTTCTAGTGTTCCGTGTCAACGCTCTATTTTGAGGTTATGTTACTTAGTGCAAAATTCATATTTTCGTTCTCTACAGTTAGCTTGTTAGCCTGTTGATGCTGGGTTCGAAATATGACACATATTAGAACAGTGCGTGTATGTGTGTGGGTTCAGAAGTATGCCCGTTTAAGAAAGCCACTGTATTAATAGAGAAAAATATATTTTTTAGAAGCTGTTTATTCAGATTTTACATAATCTCGTACACAGGAAATATATGAAAATACGGAAAAGTAAATGGAACAAAAATATATAGTTCTCGAGAATTATGTCACATGTTCAACAGCCACATGTCATAATTCCTAGTCAGAAAAGAACGGAATTCAACTTTCTTCCTTCCCTCAACTATACGAGGGGGTACCCAAAAAATGGAATTATTTTTTAAATTTTTCAATAACTAAACTGATCTCCTTCAAAATACTGTCGAACAGAGATGGCCGTGTGCGCAGGTGCAGTCTCCTGACTGCCCCAAATCTGGTCGTTTTTTGCAAACACTGTTTCGCGTCTTAAAACCTCCAAATAGCACAAACTCTCGAATTTTCAACATCAAAACAGTTTCAGTAGCATTTTTACCAATTAGAAAGCAAAACTTCACAGCTGCACGTTGCTCACTGAAGCATGTCATCGTAAAAAACGAAACAAGCACGAAACAGATCTAGCAGTTGGCACTGAGTTGCGCTGTTCGCCTCTAGAGGCAGGAATGTGTACTACACAAGCTCCGCCCACTGCAATGCTATTCCGGTTATTTTTGGGTACCTCCTCGTACATGCAAAAACAGTTAATATGATATTCTCAAAAGTATTCATTTCGATGGAATATCAATACTTGCCAACAAAAAATCGTGAAAGAAAATAAAATAAAAATGAGAAAATAAAAAATTAAACAGGCACCGGTTAAACGGAAAATATTTTTCCAAGTCCGTGAAACTAAATAAAAGTATATAAAATTAGTTTATATTTTTTTCTTCACAATATTTTTTAACTAAATGATCCAAAACCAGACATTTGAAGCTTTAAAATAGTCATTTAAGAACCTCAACAGGACCGTTTTTACAGCGCATTAGGCTCAATCTGTTATGACTTCTTATGCAGAATCCTGACGTCCTGATACGGCAGCGATTCGACACCTTTATCAATCCAGTTAGGAGTATGGTTGTGGTCATTAACCAAAATCGCCATATTCTTCATGGTAGTCACTCTAGCCTTGCATCTGGTTTTCCGATATTCGCTGCATATCCAGTCTGTCCTGTCGAATCGTTTGTTGTTAATGCCGAAAGAGTTGCCGTAGATGACTATGTTGGCTGATTTGCGATGAGATTTTCTGAAGTAGACTCTACCTAAAACTAATAAACGCCTGTCAGTTACATGTCTAACAATCACAAAATTAGTTTTCCAAATTAGGATTCCAGGTGCAGTTAACCACTTTGATGCAGAAAAAACCGAGAGCAGGAAAACACATCGCACGCCCATGTCATAGCGGTCGTTGTCAATTCAAAGAGATGTCGCGCTTGCATGGGCGTTTCGTTCTTAATGTAGGAGTACCTGATTGCCAAAAAATCAAGTTGGAGAAATTATTTTTTCTGGGTGTAACACTTCTAATGTCGCTGAGTATACAGGGTGTTTCACAACTTATCAAATTTAAACCGCATTTGTCTGATATTATTTTTCATACATTTTCAAGTTTCAATAAAAGATTTAGATGAACAAAAATGGACGTATTTTATTTCATTTCATAAATATTCAATATACAAACCAGTCAGTTACATATCCGCCACCCTGTATAATACCTGGGGCGGTTAAAAAACTATCTATATTTATTTGTTGTTGAGCAACGTTTCACGCCCTTGGTACGTAAATAACTATTATCTCTCTTTGCGTAATTTAACAAATAACTTTAATGCTGGCGTTATCTTTTCCACATGTTTTTTATATTTACAAATAGTCGAATGAAGTTCTGGATTACAAGGGTAAAGAAAATGCCATTTTATTACGAACTATTTAATCCCGATTTCACCATGTTCACACAGTTTCTGCAAAAAAATATATATGTACCTCAGACTGGGTTAAGTGCAAATAAGTAGTTTTGAGATAATTGTATTTCAAATATTTTTCTTGCATGCGACTTGACATGAGTTAAAAAGTCGTAACTTCCTTATTATTACAGATGGATGGACGTTGCATGTAGAAAATGAAAATTCACAATGTTAGCATAAGCTTAACATATTAAACTCATTTCTGACAAAAATGGACTTAACCTAGTCTAGCTCAGGTGCAATTAACCACTTTGATGCAGAAAAAACCGAGAGCAAGAAAACACATCGCACGCCCATGTCATAGCGGTCGTTGTCAATTCAAAGAGATGTCGCGCTTGCATGGGCGTATCATTCCGTACCTGATTGCCAAAAAATCAAGTTGGAGAAATTATTTTTTCTGGGTGTAACACTTGTCGCTGAGTATACAGGGTGTTTCACAACTTATCCGACAAATTTAAACCACATATGCACTGTTACGAAAAAAGTTGAGGCTAACGCAAGAAACCTCTCTACATCAAGTTGATACTGCTTGTGGTTTTCAGGTGTTAATCGTTGCCTGAATCTACTGAATTAAAACAGGCATTGAAAATCCTAGCGCCATCTACGAGACGGTAGAACCAAACTCACTTTTCAAACTAGATTTCCAACTTCATTTTTGTATTATTGTATTATCTCATTATTGGACTCCGAAATACAGTATACAGATCAGGAACCAATGATTTTACTTTCTGGAAATAATGAGCAAGACTAAGCAAGACATTTTAATTACAAAATTACACATTCATTGATCATACTCGTAACGGAGATTTCTTCTTCTTCGTTAATCCAACGGTACCAAATCCCTATCCCGCTTCTGAAACACCTTGACAGTCTGAAACGGCAACGTCGCAATGAACTCGGCAGCACAGTTAGGCTGATGATTATGGTCATTGCTGATTACAGCCATGTTTTTCGATGTTGTCACTCTAGCTTTGCATCCCGTCTTGCGGTATTTCGTGCAAATCCATATCGTTTTGGTGGGCATTTTGGCGTTGATGTTGAACGAGTTTCCGAAAAGGATTATGTTGACAGTGCTGCGAGATTTCGATTTGTGGAAGTAGATCCTGCTCGTACCTGAAATGATCGGATTTTACTGTTGCCCCTACCTTCAATATTCACTTGTCAGGGGATTGTCTTATACATCGATATTTACTGACAGGTTGGCTACATGGTCAATAAATATCACATTTCTTGGTATACTTAGTGGAAAAAAACACACAAGCTATTCGGTGGAATTGAGACGCATTATTCCACAATTTTAGTCAGAGAATTGATTGAAGGATATTATTTACAAAGCAACTCCCATATTTATACATTCTGATGATATAAACAAACGTGCTTTTTCATGTTGGTTTTATTTAAAATAAAATCCCGAAGTTATATAATACTTTCGATATACAATATCTTTTAGATAGTCAAATTAGGTAAAATGTTGAGTGCAATTATAGAATTTTTGAATATGAATGAAACACAACAATTCCAAGTAACAAAAATAATAAATATATCCTGTAATGTTCCCAACACCTTGGTACAAAAATACATGATACATGAAACTAACGAAACATACAAGTAATTTAAAATACAAAAAAGCTGTAATGTAATGGAAGTTATATCTTTTGTTATTAAGTACAAGTCTATTCTATGTAATAAAATAGCTCTAGTCGTTTGATTTTTATAGCAACCCTTAGTTATTGGATACTGATGATTTGTAGTGATACTGTAGAGAAATGTGCAATGTGCAGTGTGTGCCCCGCCCCTCCCAACCAACTTTTTTCGACCCCGCCCTTGGATGCAATCTCTACTATGATTCACTTGTAGTAGCTATGTGTGTTGTCTAAACGTTGCGCTGTCGGTGTGATGTTTTTGCAGATTGTTCAAGCAAAATTAGAGGCAATGCTCTCGAAATACTGTCATTGTTTTTCGAACCACCGTATATATCCAATAACCAAGTCGAAGCAACTTTGTTCCGTTCAAAGATTATCGTAATTGTTATAACTAGCAGCTCTCTTGATAGTGACAGTCTGTGACAGTGAATAATTGCCGCTCCTCCTTCTGCAAGTAGGCGTATGATTGTGCATCCCCACCAGAGTCGCTTGTCTTGCGGACGTCACGACTTTCGCTTTACATCTGTCCTTCTTGTGGTACTGCGTGCACGACCAAACCGTTTTGTCCGGCAATTTGCGGTAGATGAGGTAGTCGTTGTTTCGCAGGATGATTTTCGGGTTTTTGTGGCCCATTTCGAAATAGATCGTATCTAAAATTACATACAACGGTATTACTGATACTAGTCAAGTTCAAAATGTTATCTTGCGATACAAAAATATGGAACAGAAGAGCACGCGTCCAATAATAATGCATTTATTGCCCAACAGTGCAAAAACAGTAAGATACCTTACGCCATAGTTACAGCACAAAATATAGGACAATCAATTTTCGATATCTAGGTTTTTCAAAGACTGATAATCAAATCTCTGTAGCTGTTAGCTAGGATAACAACCTCTTGGTGGGTACATAGCATTGGAGTTAAAGCCTACGAATTCTTCGTGCTTTTTCAATAGCAACGATGTACTGGGACACATGCTTCTACAAGGTGCTTAAATTGATTTAAATTTTTGATATGCGCATTTCAGCAGGTGGTGCCGTAGTAGTTGTTTAAAGCACATATGTCCGATTCATCATGGAGCGCTACACGATCCCACAACGCATCCGTATTGTCAAAACGTTTTGCTTAAATGATGAGTCGATTGTTGTTCTCGATTTGGTGATGTCCACTGGCCACCAAGGTCACCGGATTTAACAACTCGTGACTTTTTTGAAAAATAGGGTTTATGCGAACAAACCAAATACTGTAGAGCAGCTGGAGAACAATATTACGGAAGCGGTTGAAAATATTCCTCCCGAAACCTACCTATGCTGCGTCTAGAGGCGGACATTTGTCTGATATTATTTTTCATACATTTTCAAGTTTCAAAAAAAGATTTAGATGAACAAAAATGGAAGTATTTTATTTCATTTCACAAATATTCAAGATACAAACCAGTCAGTTACACATCCGCCACCCTGTATAATACCTGGGGCGGTAAAAAAACTATCCATATTTATTTGTTGTTGAGCAACGTTTCACGCCCTTGGTACGTAAATAACTATTATCTCTCTTTGCGTAATTTAACAAATAACTTTAATGCTGCAGTTATCTTTTCCACATGTTTTTCATATTTACAAATAGTCGAATGAAGTTCCGGATTACGAGGGTAAAGAAAATGCCATTTTATTACGAACTATTTAATCCCGATTTCACAATATTCACACAGTTTCTGCAAAAAAATATATATGTACCTCAGACTAGGTTAAGTGCAAATAAGTAGTTTTGAGATAATTGTATTTTAAATATTTTTCTTGCATGCGACTTAACATGAGTTAAAAAGTCGTAACTTCCTTATTATTACAGACTAATGAACGATGCATGTAGCAAATGAAAATTCAGAATATTAGCATCAGCTTAACATACTAAACTCAATTTCTGACAAAAATGGACTTAACCTAGTCTAGCTCTGGAGTGCAGATATAAACTTATGGTAGACAGTTAACTTATTTATTCTTCGTTCCAACAATACGAGGGGGTCCGATAAGTGCTTAGCCTACAAAAGAAAAACGAACGTTTTGGAAAAGTGGCGGATTTCAGAATATTCACACAGTTCCTGCAAAAAAATATATCTGTACCTCAGACTAGGTTAAGGTCAAATAAGTAGTTTTGAGATAATTGTATTTGAAATATTTTTCTTGCACGCGACTTGACATGAGCTAAAAAGTCGTAACTTTCTTATTATTACAGACTAATGGACGATGCATGTAGCAAACGAAAATTCACAATATCAGCATCAGCTTAATATACTAAGTGACATATAAATCCGAACACCCAGTTTAAATGGTTTTATTTTAATAAAAGTTGGTGAATGTATTTATCTTACTGTAAATAACAAGTGAAAAAATTTTCAGCCTTATCAGTTGGACATTCCGGTTTTTATACTGCTTGTTTTTTAATTTACTAACGCTCTAAAAATGAATATTTCAGCCGCAGTAAAGAATCAACGTTGGCGGATTTTGGTTCTTGACATCCTTTACGATCGGTTACGATGCCTGGAGTACGGAGACCTGTACGATTTCGTCAACTTAGTGAGTTTGATAGGGGCCGTATAGTGGGACTTCGGGAAGCTGGACTTTCTTTTCGGGCAATTGCAATTAGAGTGCAAAGAAGTGTAGACACTGTGGTTAGGTGTTGTCAGGCATGGCTTCGAGAAGGCCGTACGCAAAGAGCAAGGGGCGCTGGACGCCGCCGTAGAACAACAGACCGTGAAGATCGCCGCCTAAGATTATTGGCCTTAAGGGACCGTTTCTCCACTACCAGGTCCATTGCAAATGAATGGTTTGCAGCCTATTGGCATGCGAAGTGTTTACCGACGAATGAGAAGTTTTGGCTTGTTTTCATACCGGCCACACTGGCTCCTCCCTTTAACTCGAGAACACCGACGTAATCGCCTTGAGTGGTGCAGACAACGGTCACTCTGGGATCAGGAATGGAACAGTATTGTCTTTAGTGACGAGTCTCGATTTTGTTTAGGCATGCACGACGGTCGTGCCAGGGTTAGAAGGAGACGTGGTGAAAGGAGGAATCCACAGTTTTTTGTTGAAAGACATGTTCATCACACTGTTGGAGTTATGGTTTGGGGTGCTATAGCTTATGGTTCCAAGTCACCTTTAATCTTCATCAGAGGTAACATGAACGCGCAGCGTTATATCCACGAAGTTCTAGAACCCCATCTTTTACCCTATCTTGACACCCTGGCAGATCCAACTTTCCAACAAGATAATGCCCGACCACATGTTGCAAGAGTCACAACAGACTTCTTTCAACATAATGATGTCACATTGTTACCATGGCCACCAAGATCTCCCGACTTATCCCCAATTGAGCACGTGTGGGATATGATGGGTAGGAGATTGCTCAATTTGCAACGTCCTCCTCAGACTCTAGAAGCACTTCGAGAGGAGTTGGTGGTTGCCTAGAATGAGATACCACAGGAGGACATTGACCACCTGATCAGAAGCATGCCTAGGCGCGTTGGAGAATGCGTAGCACATCACGGTGCATCCACACATTATTAAAGGTCAAAGGGCTTTAAAGCAGTGCAATCATTTTGAAATTTTTATCATTTACTTATTACGCTTCATTAAGTACTTATACAAAATTTTATTAAAATAAAACCATTTAAACTGGGTGTTCGGATTTATATGTCACTTAGTATATATTAAACTCATTTCTGACATAAATGGACTCAACCTAGTTTAGCTCTGAAGTGCAGATATAAACAGACAGTTAACTTATCTATTCTTCTTTCCAACAATACGAGGGGGTCCGATAAGTGCTTAGCCTACAAAAGAAAAACGAACGTTTTGGAAATGTGGCGGATTTCACAATATTCACACAGTTTCTGCAAAAAAATATATCTGTACCTCAGACTACTATAGGTTAAGGTCAAATAAGTAGTTTTGAGACTATTATATTTGAAATATTTTTCTTGCACGCGACTTGACATGAGTTGAAAAGTCGTAAGTTTCTTATTATTACAGATGGATGGACGCTGCATGTAGCAAACGAAAATTCACAATATTAGCATCAGCTTAACATATTAAACTCATTTCTGACAAAAACGAGCTTAACCTAGTCTAGCTCTGGAGTGCAGATATAAACTTACAGTACACACAGTTAACTTATTTATTCTTCTTTCCCACAATACGAACATTTTGGAAAAGTGACAATTTGCTTGTTACCAAGCGACGCAGAAACTCCTGCGGTTTGTGGAGTGGTCACACGGTTGCGTTTGTTGCCCGCAGCGAGCAAACGCGGCACCACCCATCGCGCAGACAGCTTTCTCACACATGATAAAACGCACGCGGTCTTCTGATATGCCTACTGTCTCCGATAAC